TAAGGAAGGAAGGAAGGAAGGAAGGAAGGAAGGAAGGAAGGAAGGAAGGAAGGAAGGAAGGAAGGAAGGAAGGAAAGGCGGAAAGAGAGATAGGTGTCAACCCTGAAGCTGACCTGAGAAGTGAGAGAAGGAAACAGCAATAGCCCTTAGACTTATATGCCGCTTCACAGTGCTTTCCAGCCCTCCCTAGGTGGTTTACAGCCTCTTTGCCCCCAACCATCTGGGTCCTCATTTTACCGACCTTCGAAGGATGGAAGGTTGTTAAGTGTGGGAAAAGGGTCATCAGTCACTTTTCCAGTGCATTGTAACTTTGAAAAGTCACTAATAAATGAATGGTTGTAAGCATAGGGCTGCCTGTATGCCTTTCATCTTTCCCTCGGCTCCTTTTGATCCTCAAGACAAGCTAGCTTGGAAGGTGTAGCTGAAGAAGAGCGGGGCCCTTGCAAGTGTGATAGCCAAGGGGAGGATTACAAAGCCCATGGGCATCCACCCATCCCGGAGCCTTCTGGGATAAGCATCTGATTCCATAAATGTCTATGGAAATTCTCCATCCTCCAGATCCTGGTTGTCCCAACGGTGCTTTTTTCAAGAGGCAACTGGACTTCCTTATTTTTCTTTCAAAGACGTTTCTCTTCTCATCCAAGAAGCTTCTTCAGCTCTGACTTGGATGGTGGGGGAAGGGAAGGATTTATACTCCTTGCAGACCGCTGGTCATTTGCATCCTTTGAGAGGGTCCTTGAGGCCACTTGGAGGTTTATCTGTCTCCTCAGGGTCACCTGAGTGGTGCTCCCGGTTCCTGTAGTCTGCAATTTTTTACCACTTGGAAATCCATTCCTATTCCCACACCATTGCAAGGGGGTTCATCCCAAATTGTACAGCTAAAAGTCTGTAGAGATTGTCCATCCTCCAGCTCATGGTTGTCCCAAAGGTGCTTTTTCAAGAGGCAACTGGACTTTCTGGATTTTCTTTGAAGATGTTTCGCTTCTCATCCAAGAAGCTTCTTCAGCTCTTATTCTTTCTTTGAGAAGTTGGAACTGTGCTTTCTCCAGAATGTTTTTCTGTCCCTTCCCCACCGAGGACAGGCTCGGGTTGTTGGGGGAGGAACTGTGTTGTCTGCATCTCGAATTCGAGGGCAAATGGTTCCTGTAGAAAGTCCAGTGGCCTCTTGAAAAAGCACCTCTGGGATCTGATTCCAGGGCTGCTGATCTGTGCTGGGAAAGCCTCTTCACCGTCTCTCTTGTGTCTCTCTTGCAGGGATGACGAGAAGGGGAGGCAGATGTGGATGAAATACCTCTCAAGAGAAGACAGTCGGATTGGGGGTGAGTATCTGGTGGGGCGGTCGAGAAAGAGTTTGGGGGTTGGTGGACGTGATGATGCAGAGGGTTTCAACCCTGGCGACTTTAAGAGGGGTGGACCTCCCATCCAGGAATTCCCTACTCAACATGCTTTAAGAGGAGTGGACTTCTCCTTCCAGAATTCCCTGCATTTCTTAAATTCTTGACTTCTTAAAGTTGCCAGAAAAAAACAAAAACCCTGATTTAAGTTGTACCAATGGTTTGGCTAACTTTTTGGACCAAGATACCCATTTGATGCAGGGAGGCGGTGGCTCGGTGGCTTAGACGCTGAGCTTGTCGATCAGAAAGGTCGGCCGTTCGAATCCCTAGCGCCGCCTAATGGAGCGAGCTCCCGTTATTTGTCCCAGCTTCTGCCAACCTAGCAGTTCGAAAGCATGTAAAAAAATGCAAGTAGAAAAATAGGGACCCCTTTGGTGGGAAGGGAAAAGCATTCCATGCCCCTTCGAAGGCATTTAGTCATGCCGGACACATGACCACGGAGACGTCTTCAGACAGTGCTGGCTCTTCGGCTTTGTAACGGAGATGAGTACCGCCCCACTAGAGCCAGAAACTATTAGTATGTATGGGTGAGGAGAACTTTTACCTTTTCCTTACCCATCTGAACTTTGGAGAACATGCCTGGAGCAATGTAAGTGAAGCAAGGGACACAACCCATTTCTAGCTATAGGTCTCCCCATCAGTTTCTCTGCCTCCTCTTCATCCATTCTGGGAATTTTCTGTCATCTCAGTTGGTGGTCAGATAGGAAGAAGGACAGCTTGGTGACATCTTTAAGACAAAATGCATTAGAGGTGATTCGCAAAATTATCGGGAGTGTCACCTACCCTTAGATCAACCTTGGCCATTTTTAAGACCAGCATACACACACACACATTTTTCTTTAAAATACATAAAAACACAATATCTACGTGAACAGTGTGTTGTCTGGGCTCAATTAATTTTAAAAAAATAATAGCAATAATGACCCTAATATTCATTAATAATAATCACATAATGATAATGATATTTGTTTATCCATACTAATAAACCTTCATTAGATACTTGATCATTCCCTTAAACTTTTGAGTTTCTAACTTCTGTTTCTATTATCTAACCATTGATAAAACAAATCCTGTATTAAAAATATTGTTTCTTCCTTCTCCTTTAGTTTGAGTGTTAATCTATCCAGCTCTGTACATTCTAATGTTTTTTATTACACTCTCATCTATTGGGATATATTTATTTTTTCACTGTTGTGCAAAAACAATTCTTGCTGCTGTTAACGTGTAAAATTAAATGTGTATTCCCTTTATTGTATTTTTCTGGTAAAGTCCACATGCCTTAAAGTGGCCATGGTTGAGAAATGTTGGCTTACATTGCCATGGTAGTCAGCAGTCTCTATTTGCTTGCCTGATTGTGGATTTCAAAGTTGGTGAAATCTTCAGAAACACCCCGATGGCGTTGAGCCTAATCAACATAGCTGCCTCTTTAAAAACTGGTTTAAAGAATTGTTCCCTTTTTGTTCAAGGTTGCCACTTTCTTTTGGTTTCATTTCCTTTTAAAATTTGTACCCTGTCAGGTCTGATCTTGATATTCTCGGATCAAAGCCAGGAAGAGCAACTGTTCATTGAATTTGTTCACTGAATTGTTGATATTTATAGAACTCTGACTGTTAACATTGTTAACAGGATTTTTTCATTGTCATTTTGTTAAAACTTCCTTGGATATTTCAAAGGAACTTTTCTGTTACAAAAGTGTGGGTTTCCCCCCTGCACCCACCCAGTAATTAACCTGGCTATCAAATCATTAATGTTCAACCTACATTTTTTCTCTTTTTACTGTATGAATCCACTTAATGCTGGACCCCCATTTGACAAACTTTTCAGAAACTATTTTGACCTTTTGGATGGCCAAACTTTGTTCCTTCTGTGCTAGTTTACCTAGTAATTTAAGGCCACACAAGAAGCTGTGTTGAATTTGTGGCTGCAATTCACGTGTTTGCTTCCCAGCAACTGAACTGGAAACCCCACCGGGTTGGAAATCATCAGCCACAAAGATCAAGGAGCGTTTCATGATCTCTGAAATTCCTCAGTTGATTTTGGAAAAGCGTAAAACCGATTTCCATCACGCTCAGCTCTAGACACAGGGAAAGCCTTGAAAAGTATGGAGTTGAGATCCAACCTCGGTCGAGACTTTGAAGCTTCTTTCTAAAACTTACATTTAAAAAATGCCCTTCTACGGTCACTGCTGCATAGCACACCTATCCACGTAACTAGATCATGGGTAACTCCTACGCAGAGAAGCATCCGTGAACAACATTAGCCTGAGCTTGCACAACAAATGAGGTCAAAAGCAAGTTGGCTGGTTTGTGAGTAAGACTATTGAGGTAACCCAGCCATGAGATCAGATCCTCCGTTCTCATTCTTGGATGACGTGAAACATCCCTTCAAGCTTTCAGGCAGGAGAAAGTCCATCTCCTCCATACGTGGTGATCCAGTTTGATCTCCACCTTCATATTCTCCACCTTCTCTTTCTGTAGATCTCTTTGTTGGGCAACTGAAGAGCTCCTTGACCTGCAGTTCTTGCGGCTACTGTTCCACTGCTTTTGATCCTTTCTGGGACCTGTCTCTGCCCATTGCCAAGGTAACCTTCTATGCCCTGGGGCTCCCACTGGCTTCCCACTGACCCCAGATCTGCAGCTTCCCAGATCTGCCTCTTCTTGCATCGGTGACCTAACGTCTTGGACCTTGGCCACTCACTCTCACTCTCTCTCTCTCTCTCTCTTTCTCTTCTCTTTCTGCAGAAAAGCTACGGCGAGGTGAATTTGATTGACTGCATGCGACTCTTCACCAAGGAAGATGTTCTAGACGGTGATGAAAAACCTGTAAGTCCAGATGACTAGGGAGGTGCAAAAAAAAACAACCTCACCAGTCAGGTTTCTGCACGCAGTTCACGTCTCGTGTTCCAAATGTTTTTTAAGCCCTAGATGTCAAAATCAACCACCGGGTGGATTTTTTACACAAATTTCTGGTTTGGAGTTTTGCACAAAATGAAGTTGCTGGTGATTTTAAGAATTATAGAGTTGGAGATCTTCAAGTCCAACTTTGGAGGTGATTTCTTTAGATTGGGAAAAAAAAGCTTGTTGCAAAAGCTAGATCTAAGGCTCTAGATTAATGGGTTGGGAAATGTCAGACGTGTCTATTCTTCTTTGAACTGTTGCTTCACCTGGTTGTTGTGTCAGCCTCTGGCTCATGTGAAGCATAACAGAACCGAACAGAATAACAGAGTTGGAAGGGACCTTGGAGATCTCCTAGGCCAACCCCCTGCACAAGCAGGAGACTCTACCATTCTGGATAAAGGGTTGCCCAATCCCTTCTTAAAAACCTCCAGTGATGAGGCACCCACAACTTTTGAAAGCAAATTGTTCCACTGGTTAAGCCAGGAAATTTCCCTTAGTTGTTGGTTGCTTCTCTACTTGATGAGTTTCCATCCATTGTTTATTATCTTACCTTTGGTACTCTGGAAAAGAGGTTGGACCCCCTCATCTTTATGGCAGCTCCTCAAATATTGGAAGACTGCTATTTCCGACTTGTGGAGGAGCTGAGTCCATAATGGGAGGGCTGCCTTTAATGCTTCCATCAACCTGCCCAAGTCAGTTTTTTTCCTCTAAAAATAAGGGGTTTTCTGCCCTGTGAAATCAAAGCCAGGCCCCGCTGGTTTGCCGCTGACGGCCCTTGTGTTTACCCCGGCCATTTCAGCTCATCACTGAACCATGGTGGTGCAGTGGTTAGAGTGCTAAGTACTGCAGGCTACTTCTGCTGACTGCCAGCTGCCTGCAATTTGGCAGTTCGAATCTCACCGGGCTCAAGGTTGACTCAGCTTCCCGTCCTTCCGAGGTGGGTAAAATGAGGACCCAGATTGTTGGGGGGCAAGAGGCTGACTCTGTAAACTGCTTAGAGAGGGCTGTAAAAGCACTATGAAGCAGTAGATAAGTCTAAATCAGCGGTGGGATTCAGCCAGTTCACACCGGCTTGGCGAGAACCGGTTGTTAACTTTCTGAGCAGTTTGGTGAAGTGGTTGTTGGAAAAAAAAAAAATCATTAGGGCGGAGAACCGGTTGTTAAATTATTTGAATCCCACCACTGGTCTAAATGCTATTGCTATCTAGCCAATCCTTGCTACTCTTTTCCCCCAGCTGGAGCTACATTGTCCCATGCCTGCCTTTCCTAACAATGTTCATGCATTAGGCAGCCTCCCCCACATCTCTGTGGCTCCTCCCCTAAACCCTGGTTGTCCCTTTGTCCCTGCAGACGTGCTGCCATTGCAAAGCGAGGACGAAATGCATGAAGAAATTCAGCATCCAACGTTTCCCCAAGATCCTGGTTTTACGTATCCTTTCTTTTTGGTTTCCTCAGCTATTTATTTATGGGATTTATTTGCCATCCATCTTGTATCCAACCATTGTGGGAGGCTCCATAGCAAAGGAGATCTCACATGTGGATGCATGGAGACTTGACAAGTGTCCTATCAGGATCCATAAGGTGCAGACAATTTTACTGGGCCCAGAATCCAGCCTGCTGAGAACGTAGCTTGAAACAGTCTATTCTTTCAAGATCCTAGTCCTTTTGGTTGGAGGATTCACAGACTTTTTTCAGTGCAGTAGAACGTACACACACACACACAAATTACAGCCTTAACCTTTTTGCTTTACATTTCTTGCAGTTAAGGTGCTAGGCTACAAAGCAGGAGATCATGAGTTCAAGTCCTGCCTTAGCCACGAAAGCTGGCTGGGTGACTTCGAGCCACTCCTCTCTCTCAGCCTAATCTGCCTCACAGGGTTGTTGTTGTTGTGGGGAAAACAGAAGGAAGAAGGTGTGTTGGATATGTTTGCCGCCTGGAGTTATTTGTAAAAATAATCAAAGTGGGATATAAAATAAATAAAGGGGTGGTGCAGTGGCCTGGAGGTGGAGCTCTCACCTCACAATCAGAAGGCTGTGAGTTCGATCCTAGGTAGAGGCAGATATTTCTCTCTCCGGGTATAATGAGAATATATCTGCCGAACAAAACTCCATATTGGCAACAGGAAGGGCATCCGGCCATTAAAACACTCTGCTAGCTCCATTCCGTTGCCCAAACTCCAGCCCGCAAAGGGATTATGGGGTCGTTAAAAGATGATGATAATAAAATAAACAAACATTCTTCACTTGTGGGAACCGTTTGGCCCTTCCCGCTTTTTCCTTAATTCCTCACCCAGACCTGAAACGTTTCTCGGAAGCCAGGATGCGATCCAGCAAACTCACCACTTTTGTCAATTTCCCGCTTAAGGATCTGGATCTACGGGAATTTGCCTCTCAGAGTTGCAGTGAGTATCTCCTGAGGGATTTGGAAGAACCAGCCCGGGGGGGGGGGGGGGGGGGGTCATCTGGGCCAGCAACCCCCAACCTTTTGGGTGTCAGGGACCCGTTTCATGGAGGGAGGTTTTTCTACAGACCTGGGTGTGTGTGTAAATAATAGAATGGAATGGAATGGAATAGAATAGGATATAGGATATAGGATATAGGATAGAATATAGAATACAGAATACAGAATATAGAATATAGAATACAGAATATAGAATAAAGAATAGAATAGGATGTAGAATAGAATAGAATAGAATAGAATAGAATAGAATAGAATAGAATAGAATAGAATAGAATAGAATAGAATAGCTGGAAGGGTCCTTGGAGGTCTTCTAGTCCAGCCCCCCTCCTCAAGCAGGGGAATCTACACCATCTCAGACCAGTGACTGTCCAGTCTCTTCTTAAAAACCTCCAGTGATGGAGGCAACCTCTGTTCCACTGGTTTGGCTTCCACGGTGTAGTGTCACACACTGCCTGCATCCCACACTTGTGTGGATGGGGCTTCGCTTTTGCTTGCGCAGCCCGGTTTCTGGATGTCCACAGCCCAGAGGCACCAGGACCCCTGATCTAGCAGGGTCACCAACTGAGGATAGATCTATGAACCTTCTTCCCTACAAGTCCAGTCAAACAAAGATACACAAACACAGCCTGGTTGTTTGATTCCACCCGCTGCCTGGAATTGTAAAGGAAACAGGAAGCAGAATTCACTTCCCTGACCTGTTCAGAAGGTCTCGATTTTGGAAAACATTTGAAATGAGATCTCCCGCAGAAGTGGGTCCGGTCTGAGAGAGCCATTTATTTATTTACTTGTATTTCACATGGCTGAACCGGCCAACTCCCTCCAAGAGGGACTCTTAAAACAGTACGTGGACGATATGTGCTCCATCCACGATTGAAATCTGGTTTTCAGAATCGTGGCTTCCAGCTTGGGGGGAAAAAAAACGCTGGAGTTTTCCTCCTCCAGCTGTTCACGTTTTAGGGGAAAGCAACAAAGAAGTTGAGTGAGTGGTTTTGAGGAAGGCTTACAAAATTTGCCAGGGAGCAGGAATGTCCCACCTTGGTACCCTCTCCAGAACGGCTGTTGTGAAATGAGCGGCTGCGTTAATAATATCAAATAATCATGAAATAAAAAATAAAAACTGAGCTATGCTTGGGGGCTTCTCCCTCTGAATTTCCTTGGGAGCCAAGATTGTGATAAGAGATTCCTCAGATTTTTGTATTTCATTCTTTTTTTTTTTTTGCAAAAGTCAGACCTTCCACGAACATCAAGCCAAGGCAAACCCTGCTAGCAATATTTGGGGAGAAAAAGAAGGGCCATTGCACACTTCTAATCGAGGCCGCTTCCTGCTTTTGCACACTCAGAAGTGAAAGAAAGTCTCCCCTGACAGTAATTTGACCTCTTCTATTTTCAGATCATGCAATTTACAATCTCTATGCCATCTCCAACCACAGCGGGACCACAATGGGTGGCCATTACACGGCCTACTGCAAGAGTCCGCTCTCCGGAGAATGGCACACCTTCAACGATTCACGGTAAGCCAGTGCCCGGCCTCTCCTTTCACGCTCCCAACTCTTTCCCCGAGCCAGAGAGGTCATCAAAGGGGACAAAACTTAACTCGGACAACTGTTTCGCTTAGCAACAAAAATTTGGAGCTCAATTCCGGTTGTAAGATGACGATTGCCTTGGTTTGCCTGTTATCGTTTAGCCTGGAAAACCAAATTCTCCCTTTCCAAAGTTTGCCTCTTTGGTTGGTCCTCTCCTCAAACTCTCTTACTAATCTAGTATAAAAGAAAAATAATAATCAGTATAATGTTCTACTAGTCCTCAGTTTATGATTGGTTGCTTCATGGACATTTATAATTACGACAAGCCCAGAAGAGTGTTTACAGCCTATAATGTACTTTTGGTCATCATAAAATGTGCCCCGCACACACACACACACTCGTGGTCTTGTGACAACTAGGTGTGTCTTTGCGACCAGCCGCAGCATCCTGCAGTCACATGATCATGATTGGTGACTTTTCCTTTTTTGCTGATTTCCAGCAAAAAAAACCACCCATTTGGAAGAACAGCTTCACACCTACAATCGAAGCATTCGCTTAGGAACTACAGTGATTTCACTTAACGACTACCCAACAAAATTGTCCTTGAATCAGATCTGGTCACATTGGCGTCTTGACTGAGGACTGTAATGATGCACAACCAGAAAATTGTTTCTGATTCTGGTCATAAAACAAGGACTGCCAGCACTCCCCATTTTTTACCTCTCAGGGCTGGAATGTGTGGGTCAGAACCAGCCAGAGGTCAAAGTAGGCATCCCTTGTTGTCAGTTTTCCTCACATCCGTTCTTCATTTACAATGCACCCCTCTCTTAATGCCGGTTTCACTTTCTGTCCTTCCTGCAGCGTCACGCCGATCTCCCTGGGCCACCTCCGCAGCAGCGACGCCTATCTCCTCTTCTACGAGCTGGCCAGCCCGTCTTCCCGAATGTAGCTTCCAGATCACGCTCCCCTCCCCTGCCCGCCACCCACATCCCCATGGAAAGGAATCCTCGTAATATCCCAGAAGAAGGACGCGAGCCAAGCCACCAGCTCAGAAAACGCATCGGGAATGGGGTGGGAGGGCACGCGGAGACCCAGGACAATGGTGACTTGAGGGATTTTTTTTCTAAACTGGGTTTCCCCCCCCCCTTTTTTTCCTAAAAAACAAGCAAAAGCAAAAAAAAGAGAGAGAGAGAGAAAGAGAGGGAGGGAGGAAGAAAATGCTTTTAATAAAGCGTTAACTAAAGTTGCCGGTCTTCACCGGGATGCCTTACTCCCACGCACGGGACCGAAGACGGAGACGACGAGGGAGAAAACACCATCCTTGGTGTGAGCAGGTTCCGCGCCAACTGCATCGCTCCGAAAAAAAAACATTCTCAGGGGTGGTTTCTATGTTTTCCTTCTCTCCCTTTTCCTTCCTCCCTTCTCCCCTGGTCCGCCCACACTCCTTTCCACAACTGTGGTGTGCAATAAGTCACAAACAGCTGCTGCTCTTTTGGGGGGAGGGTAGCAACCTGCCTGTCCCCCTGTGATCCCTTGGCAGGTGGGGGGGAGGGTATTGGAGCTGAGCCACACAGGTGTTTTTTCTCCCTGATGCCAGTTGGACGCCACTTTGGCCACCGAGTTGCAGAACTAGATCAAGTTTTCCGGAATATGATTTTTGCCTCTTAGATCAAGGCAAAGCTTGTTTGTTTTTTGCACAGTTCTCACACAATCCTCCTCGGGGAGGGGGATGAGGGATTTCTCTACAGGAACCGCGGACTTTGAGTCCTATCTATTCGCATGGGGTGGGGGCCGTTGTTGGTTTCCTTTTTTTTTTCTTTTTAACAAACTGGAAGCATCCTTGGATGGATTTTTACGGACTTTGTCGCAAAAGCAGAGGCTCGCTGGATCCAATTCTACCTGTTTTCTTGTCACTACTGTGCCTTAAAAGCATCCGGACGAAAGACACGGTGTGTTTTCAGCCGATCCAAGTGCCCTTTGGAAAGGGACACGGCGCAACCAGCAGAAATATGACACACACACACACCCATCCTTCAGCCTTCCTCTCCTGCTGTCCCAACTTTCCCTCACCACATCCCTCATTTGTCCTGGGATGGAGGCCATTCAGGAACGCTTCGGACAATTTTCAAAGAGGATTGCCTTGATTCAGTTTTCATTTTGGTTCTCACTGCATGTGTGCCGCAGAGTCGCCAAAACGCACCTCGTTGGAGGGGTTTTTTTTGAACCAGTTTGGGAGCGATCAGTAAGCTTATCCCTCCTCTTATTTATTCTCCATCCCCATCATGCAGGGTCAACCTTTCAGCCCAACTCCAAAGCAGACACTACTTGAAGGGCTGAGGGTTAGAGTTAGCACCTTGATGGTTTTGCAACCAGACAACATTCGCTGGGTAGAAAAACCCCTCCCCTGTTTTATTTCTTCCCCCCTCTCTTCATCCCCTACGCCTTGCAAAGCTCCGAAAAAGCACCAAGCCGACTTTAACCCAGTTTTGAATCAAGCAGAGCATTGAGGTTGGTTTTAGTGGGCACCTTGGTTCGCAGCCTAAAGGATGCCCCTTGACCCCCTCTGCCATTCTCACGGCCTGTTTTCCTACAACCAAAAGTGCCCCCCTTGCATAGTTCACTCCATTTCAACCAGGCCGGTGCTCAGGACCCTGTGGGGAAAGCAGAAGGGGTAACCCAGATGTCAAGGGTCTGGCTAGCAAAGCCTTTCTCAGTGTTGCTATTTTGCTTGGTTTGGGATGGGGTATTTTTTTTCCGTTTTGTTTGTGTTTGGGTTTTTTTTTTTTTTTTGTTTATCAGTTTGGACTGAACAGCTTGTTTACTGTGTAAGCAAGGCTGGAGGACGGGCCGTGGTCACTCAGGAAGGAGGCTTGTACAGAAATAAAATTGTAACTTGATGAACAATCCACTGCGTTTGTGCACACAAGTGACTGTGAATTGTGGGCAAGAAATCTTCGATGGGAGGGGTGGGTTGTGTGGTAAGAAGCCCCCAGCCCCTGATGAGCTGTGGGGCTCGACTCTTGCTGGATTTGCCACAATCTGGGCAGTGTACCCAATGTATTTTCTCTGAAGGAGGAGGGCTCGGCTGGTGGACCTCAAGATTCCTTCCACACTTGGGCACGAGGGTTGTAGGTGGTACTTCTGCGGGAAGAGCTGAAGGACGTTGCTGCCTGTTCACAGGCATGAGGGGTTACAAGATGGTGGGCTCACTTTGCTCAAATACGTATGAAAGGTAATGTTTTATTTGACCAAGTACGATTAGACACACAAGGCATCTGTCTCCGGTACAGAAGCTCTCAGGGTTACATGCAAAAGAGCAGAGTAATTAACATAATCAATGGTACCAATAAGAGAAGGTAGAAGAAGAAACGAGAAGGATAACAGTAATACAGCCGTACTAAATATCCTAGACATAAGACTACTGTGGGAATTAGGTGCTTAGCAGAGTGATGGCAGGAGGGAAGAAGGCTCTAGTTCAGGGGTGTCCAACCTTGGCAACTTTAAGACTTGTGGACTTCAACTCCCAGAAAAAAGCATAATGGTATACAGGTGGCTCCTGACTTACGACCAGTGGTGGGATGCTGCCGGTTTAACAACCGGTTTGGTGAGCGTGCGCCTAAGGCGCTTGCGCTGAAAATGGAGCCTTTAGAAGCTCAGCTGCTTACCTTCCAAGTCAACAACGGTGAGTAGAAGAGTGAGGGTGTGGGAAACCAACTGCGCCGCGCGATTGAGATGAGCTACAAAGCAGGAAATAAAGGACAGGATTGGGCAGGGCCAGCTGATTGTGAGAACAACCGGTTTGTGTGAACCAGTCTGAACCGGCAGCCTCCCACCACTGCTTCCAACCATTCGTATAGTGAATGTTTGAAGTTACAACGGCACTGAAAAAGATGGCTTTTCTCACACTTAGGATGGTTGCAGCATCCTCACGGCCACATGCTCAGAATTTGGAGGCTTGGCAAAAGATTCCTCTTTATGACGGTCGCTGCGTCCTGGAGTCATGTGATCCCCTTTTACGACCTTCTGAACATGCCAAGGCAACGAGGAAGCCAGATGGTCTGAACAGCTGTGTTCCTAACTTAACAACTGCCGTGATTCACTTAACAAAAATGGCAAGGAAGGTTTCATAAAATGGAGCAGAACTCACTTAACGGTCTCTCTCTTAGCAATGGAAATTTTGGGTTCACTTTTGGTTGTAACTCCAGGCCTCCCTCTAAGCCTGTTGCTCCGCAGTGGTGTATTATCTCTGGGGAATGTGACTTTACTCTTCTTTCTTTTTAAACTTTTGTTAATTTTTTACTATTACATTTATTTAGTGCTTAATAAACATCATGTTGTCTGGGTTATTTTGTTTGCTTAACAATACAAATTATATTCGTAATCTTTACCGCTTTGTTCCAGCCATTGATCAAATAAACTCCATGTTATTTCTTCATTTTTCCAATGCTGAGCAAATACAATCCTCACTGCTATTAATACATGCAATATTAAATATATACTTCGTTTATCAAATTTTTCTGGTACGACACCTAATAGGAAAAGTTCAGGTTTAAGATTGTCATGTTTTCCTAACATCTTTCCTAACCACATGCGTATTTTTGCCCCCCATTTTTTTAACTTTAACACAAGTCCACCACGGATGGTAATATGTGCCCGATTTTTTATTACATTTCCCAACATTTACTAGACATATTTTTGAACATTTTGGCTAATCTAGCAGGTGGTAGGTGCCATCTACAAAACATTTTATATAAGTTTTCTTTATATGAAATTGCCATTGTTGACTACTCTTCTTTTTCTTTTGTTAATTTGCATTTTATTGATCAAACCCTGAAAAGAGATTTTAAAATATTTTCAGTTTAGAAAGCAAACAAGTGAATCCCCTAAATATGAAGTATTTTTAACTACAAATAACTTACTTGGTGGTTTAGAAAGAATTACTCAACAGTTTAGAAATAATTCAAAATACAACTCTTTGCTTCTAAACTATACCGTAATAAATCTATAATAGAAGAAACTTTAGTACCAGAATCATTTTCTTTAACAACAATTTCATTCCTTGACAATAACAAAGGAAAAACAGTCTCACCCTTATCTTGCATCCCTACATTTCTTCAAACAAAGGAACATGTTTTCTCTTGTCCATTACTAATGTTGTGTGATACATAATACATATGATGTATCAGATACATACATCAGGATCCAATATATGCATAGGAAATAAATCCATATACTGCACGAGTCAAAAAGAAAGCTGTGAAAATATTTACAGACCCCTCGCATCCCGGACATAAACTCCTACCCTTAAAACGACGCAATAGAGCACTGCACACCAGGACAACTGGACACAAGGACATTTTTTTCCCCAAAAGCCATCACTCCACTAAACAAATAATTCCCTCAACCCTGTTCAACTATTACAAAGTCTGCACTACTATTACTATTAATCTTCTCATCACTCCTTATCACCCATCCCCCCCCACTTGGGACTGTAGGGCTGCAACTTTGTCACTTGTATCCTTACGATTTATATTGATTGTTTCCTAGTATGATTTGATGGCTTATTGTACCCTATGACTATTATTAAGTGTTGTACCTGATGATTCTTGACTCTTGACTGTCTTTTCTTTTATGTGCACTGAGAGCATTTGCACCAAGACAAATTCCTTGTGTGTCCAATCACAGTTGGCCAATAAAGAATTCTATTCTATTCCATTAAGGGCTAGTCAAAGCTGAAGTGACATCCAATTGTCTTTGTCCCCTGCAGCTTGGCTCGTTTATACAAGCTTTTGAGTGTTTTTCCCCTTTTCTGGAAACTTACCTGACCCTTCCCAGTGGGGCACCCTGGCCGAGTTAATTGCCTCTCCGGCTCACCAAAGATGGAGTAAGATTACGAAGGCCAATGCAGCCAAGGGCACGGATTAATGATTGAAAAACAGACTCGGGTGCCCACAAGGAGCCGGTGTTCCTTCCCGAACAATTGAGCAGGCAAACAAGGAACTCTTTGTCCCTTGCTTTGGAACAAGACCAGAAAGGTTGCGCAATCGCTCGATGGGCAACGGCTTGGAATGTGGGCGTCTTAGCAACGTGCCCAGTCCTGCGGAAAGGGCTGCGCTGCCAATGGCACTTTTGACGCAACGCTAATAAGGAAGCGTGATTTGGGCAACCGAGGAGAGACAGGGACTCCTCGGCTTACGACCAAAATTGGTGACTGAATCTCTGTGGCTAAGCAAGCATGTTAAGCAAGTCGCACCCAATGTTGGGAGCTTTTTCGCCGGGGTAGTTAAGCAGAATCCCTGCCGTTGCTGTGAATCACACAGGCGGTTTAAGGAAATCTGGCATCTCCCGTTGGTTTTGTTTGTTGTTGGAAGCTGGCTGGGAGGATTGGAAACAGCGATCCTGTAAACCCACCCTCGCCCCCTGGGATGTTGTAACTGGTCATAAATAGATGGCCATTGTCAAGGGCCTGAATTGTGATCATGTGACAGGCAGTCCTCGACTTACAACAGTTCATTTAGTGACCTTTCAAAGTTACAACGGCTCTGAAAATTGTGAAAAAAGTTTTTCACAATTCTATTCCATTCCATTCCATTCCTTCATTCTTCTCTTCTCTTCTCTTCTCTTCTCTCCTCTCCTCTCCTCTCCTCTCCTCTTCTCTTAATTTCATTCCATTCCATTCTACCCTATCCTACCCTACCTTCTATTT